AGTCCCAGGGCCCTAGTTTTGACGGAGTACCTCGACCAGCATTTCAAAGTTGTTTTTGAGAGCGGTTTCGTCTGATAGAGCCGCCTAGCGGGTCGGATTGCAGAACCCGGCCTTCAGCACCTGTCCTAGGATATCGATTTTACATTTGTCTCAAGCGAGAGGTTCAGAGGATTTGTGAACGAATTGGCCGAGAATAGAGAGAGAGTGGCCGCCATCAGTCCGCCCTTGTTTACAGCGGCTTTCTGCACTCTCTTCCGCTCTTCATTGTTCTGTTTGCTGGACCAATAATCGCCTCTATTTCGACTATTCCCTTGAATACGGCAACTGTGAAGCGCAGGAAGTGATTTGGACCGGAACTGACTTGGTAGAGGCTTCTCAAGGTACGCCAATCCCGCACCTGGGTCTTGCTTTCGTATGCGTCGCGTGTTCTCTTTTCTTGGACGCGTCGTCTCATACGCTCTTGGGCATCCATGAAACAGCCAGCTGGACGTGTCGCCCTGTCTGCGTTGGCCCAGGATATTTTTGTGACGCGCAGTTATGTCGAAACGTGTCTGCGCCATTTCGTTTTGTGGCGTTCATTCTGCTTCACAAAGGATGCTGGCTGACTCTCTATTACACAACCAGGCCCTACTCAACCTCTGCAACCAATAAATATTCCGCAAGTAGGTGCATCTGCGGCCCGAGGAACTTATTGCTGATTCGTGTGGCCAGTTTATCTAGGTCTCTTACACGTCGCTTTGTGGCTCCAATTTCATTCTAAACCCGTTTCTTGAAGCGTTCGTCTATGGCAGAAGCGACCGCGACATTCAAGGACATCCCCGAACTTTTTGAGGTCGACCTCGGAGAGTCACTTACCGCTCGCACGGAAAGCCTTTGTGAGCCTACCCGCCGAGCTGGAGAACTTGAGAGCTAATCCGTTTCAGCCACATTCAGAGAACTCGGACCACCCGACCTGTGCCATGTCGTGAAGAGCACCGGAAAGGCTGGCCAGCGCGATCTCGGCTCATATCACTTTGTCTCTGGCGTCGACGCCTCCTCCTCTGCGTCCCTGGCTGCATACATAAACTCCCTCACCTACGCGATCGAAGACTCCAACGCGTGGTTTTCCAAGACGCCCATCTGGAAAGTGCGCAATGGGTGCTACTGCTGCTTCAATGCCTTCTCGCGCGTCGACTTTCGCGTCGACGTCAAGATCCCCGGAGGTGTCAATGCGTATGTGGTGGATTTGCGTGGCGAGCGGTGCGTACCATTAAACGTTTTATCACCTTCCGGTCTAAAATTCGCGCAGACATGAAGCCACGCCGGAGATGTGGCAGGAGACCTTCGTCTCCGCCCTCCTACGGGCGATCCTCTATTCAGACGACCCCACACACTCCCTCGAGGCATACCGCAAGCTCGACCCCATCACCTCACCCGAGGGCGAGCTGCGATTCCTGGCTGCCGCAGAGGCGCTCTTCCTCAAAGGTGCGCTGCTTCCTCAACCGTTTATCACCGCTCACCTTCATGATGCGATGCAGGCTGGCAAGTCGGCTCCGACCCAGAAATCCAGGTGGCGTCAGTGACGACCAACCACCTTACGGCCGGGCTGCTGAAATACTTCGGCACCTCGGGGCGCTACCAGCAGGCGGCCAACCTCTTCGAGAAGCTGTCCGTGCGCGAGCCGGAGGTCAACTCTCTCCTCGCGCGCGCGTACCTCGGCATGCGCGCGTGTCCTCTTCTTCTCCTTCACTGAACCAAGACTGATCTTCACCACAGACGAGGAGGTGAAGGCACTGCAGATCATGTCCACGGCGCTACGCACCGCGCCGGGGCCTGCGTCATACACACTCCTGCACGCACAATGCGACTTTCTGCGGGAGAAGGGCCGCTCGGACTGGGCGCTCAAGCTCGCAAGACAAGCGGTCAACGCGGCGCCGAGCGAGTTCGTGACGTGGGAGAAGCTCACGGAGGTGTACGTTGAGCTCGGGATGTTCGAGTCGGTGTGTACTTTTATCTCTTTACTTGTCGGTCAACCACTGACTTGTTGGATGTTAAAGGCGCTCCTGACACTCAATTCATGCCCAATGTTCACGTTCAACGGTCGAGACGCCCATCGGCAACTCACTCCTTCGCGAGTACATCTGCCCTTCCATCGCTCGATCGGCGAGATCTTGCCCGACCGTGCCAAGTCCGAGGATGACGAGGTATACTTCCCTCTCTTTTTTATCTTCGCGGCGAATAAACCACTCTCCAGGCCGACCCCGCGCTTCAACGACTCCCCGCGCCAGGGCTGCGCGGCACCTGGGCGCGCGCGTATGGCCTGCTCACGCGGCTCGTGGCGCAGATTGGATGGGACGAGCTGCTCAAGACCCGGAGTGCCGTCTTCGTCATGGAGGAGGAGTATCGCATGCAGAAGGCGCAGGGCGACTTTGCCACCGCCGGCTCGTCCGGTGGGCACGCACGCGGGGAGTCCGAGTCCGCGGCGGGCACGACACTGGCAGAGGGCGAGACGGACGACGAGGACAATGCGTCGACGCGGGGGATGGTGAGCCCAGGGGGGAGCGCAGTGTCCGCTGCGACGAGTCCGGTTAGCGCCGGGGTGAATGGGAACGGGAGCGCGGTGCCGACTGGGGAGAATGGGATCCCGACAATTCGAATCTCGGCGGAATCGGATCGCGAGGATGAGACGAGCGTGAAGACGGCGGTGGATACGCTGGAGCGGCCGATGCAGGCGGCGGCGGGCGACGAGGAGGATATCGCTGCGGACAAGGGGAAGGAGGCAGCGGCGGCCCTACCCCCGCAAGAACCATTCTCGTTCAGCAACAAGCGGCTATGCGAGCGGTGGCTCGATAACCTGTTCATGGTGCTGTACGAGGTGGGTACCCTCACTCCTGATTTGCGTGCAAGAAGCTGATTATCATGCCCAGGATCTGCGAGTGTGGACGATCTTCCGCGCGGAGGTCGCGCACTTCAAGACGCAGCACGTCGCGTACCGCAAGACCGGCCTCGAATGGGAGATCCTGGGCGACCTGGGGATGCGGCTGCACCACAAGGAGGAGGCGAAGGAGGCGTACCAACGCTGTCTCGACACGCCGCGCTACAGCGTCAAGCCGTGGAGCAAGCTGATGGAGATGTACGCCGACGAGGGCGACATCCAGCGTTCGATACAGACGGCGATTCGTGTCGCGGCGTACCAGTATGCGGAGTACACGGAAATGACGGTGTGTTGCGTTCCCCTTTCCCTTATCTCTCTTTCCTCTCCTGAGCCGGCTAATGAAACGCCTTCTGTAGTTCCCGACCCAAATCGCGCAATGTTTCTTCAAGCTAGGGGGAGTGCACGGACACGCCAAGATCTCGTACACGCTCCTCAGCATGGGCCTCCCCGAGCCGATTCTCAAAATTATGGACAGTTATCTGCAGTATGGCAAGACCTTCAAGGTCGAGGGGTATGACTTCTAGGTCACTCGGTGATCCTCTTAAAATCGCAGCAGACAGTAGTTTTACCTGCGTTCTCGTTGTCGGCGTGTTATTTTATTTTTCCTCTTGTTTGCTCGTTCGCGGGCGGTATTCGGCGGTCGGCTCTGGATGCTAGATGCGCACTGGAGCGACAGCATTACTCTACCTAAATACCTCTATGCTATTATTTTTCGGTTCTCGGTGCAGCTGCCTTCCTCGCACTGCGATACACTTGTCTCCACCGTTCCCTCGATTTTGGAATGGATTAGGATTATAATCTAAAATACACAGGGACAGAAACCGCTCTAGGTAGGAGCCACCCTCCAATACTCGCTGGGCGCAAAGCTCCCTTTGAGCACCCCGACATGATTCCGCGCCTGCGTACGCAGCTGGCTCGCCGCGGGGTCGTCCCCGTTGTCATCAAACCCAAGATTGAGCTTCCGCGCAAGCTCCTGCACGCCCGCGTCCTCGCGCACCCAGGCGCCCTCCTGCGCCTCTGCGCTCCACCACGCGGCAGCGCGCTCGCGGAGGAGCGGGACGCGCATGGTGGCGCCGCGCAGCATGTGCAGGAGCTGCACGCGCGCGAGGGCCTGCTCGGTGACGCGCACGGTGGCCAGGGTGGGGTTGGTGGCAGCGGCGGAGGCAGAGGCCGGGAGCATGTGCACGAAGAGGGGGAGGACGAGGAAGAAGAGGCGGCGCGCGGTGTAGAGGTTGTCGTGCCACTGCAATAATGCAATGAGTTTACAGGAGGAGGAGGATATTGCGGTGCGAGGCGTACCATGATAACGGAACGACCGTCTGGGTGGATTTCGATGGGTACGGTCAGGATGTAGTAGGTTTCAGCAACGAAAGCGCATGCTACAGCGGCGACTGCGAGTGTGCGGTAATTCTCGCGTCCGGAGCCGAGTATGGTGACCAGCTGTAAGAACAACTTCAATACAGCGCGACAGGAAGAAAGACTGGCATACTCCAATGACGGCGGCGGTGCACAGATACGATATCAAGGCTGCTGGAAACGCAAACATCCCGAACTCGTCAAAGGTTTGGCAGTAGTCGCAGCCAGAGACCACCGCATGCCCAAAGCTGTGGAATTGACGTGGTTATTGTGGAGAAGCAATGCGCGCGCCAGGGAACGCACCGAATGTAGTAGGTCTTAACATCATAAGAGCCAAGATGCCTGAGGAGTGTCTCGAGTGGTTTGGGAAGGTCGCCCGTGTCGGACTGCTGAATCAAGAGGGCGCGTATGGAATCGGCGGTGGTGTTTACTGGGACCTTTAGGCGCGTATAGATGTTCACGGGTGGCAGGACGATGACCTGGTAGAGGTAGTACAGCGTGTGCAGCAGGAGGAATATGTTCAGCAAAGAGCGGGTGGAGGTCAAAGGCTGTTGCTGGCGTTTGTGAAGTCCAAAGTAGAATGCTGGGAAGACGCCAGCGAGGGCGGTTGTGACGAAAACGAGAAGAGAAACGCCGGCGGCCATCGCGTCAAGAGCAAGGAACACGTCGGCTCGCGAGACAAAAAAGCATCACGTGCAAACTCTGCGCTTTCTTTGATGGCGCATCAAAATGATCCCGGCCGGGGTCGAACCGGCGATCGTCTGCGCGCATTATCAACCCTTGGAGAGTTTGTGCTTGTGTAAAGCAGAAGTCATAACCACTAGACCACAGGACCCCTACCTTGTTGAGCTGAAGCATAGATTTGGCATCGAGGTTCATTCTCCCAAGCTTCAGCACGACGTCGTGAAGCTCCTCATTCGAAACTCTAATCTAATCTCAAGGTAAGTACAGACAAATCGAAGTCAATACCGAGACGTACCTGGTTTAAATCGAACATAGTTTCAGCGTTGAGCAAGATAGACTTTAGCGCGACGTGTTCACGTTCCTTGGCCTAAATCCAAATCAAGGTGAGCATCGAGGCATATCAAGCACAAAACTAAGCCCGGATGTACCTAGTTCAATGGATCCGCAGTGGTTGAAAGCAGGAAAGCTAGAGGATCTAATCAGCTCAATGAACGACGTTCAAAAAATCGAAGCTACATACCTTGGGACATGGATTAACGACTCGGATCTCGTCCTCCAGTGCGCGTTGAGGTCCCAATAGGATTCACAGAGAAAATCTGTGGATGAAACCAGTCGGTAAAACTGCAAGTCAAGTCAAACCAACACACCTGCCAGTGAGGATGGTACCGCCACTTGAAGGCTCGAAGCAAGTTAGTAAAATGAAGTAGAGAGCTTCAAACGAACGCACCTATAGCCCTACAGTATTGTACGTGGAAATGGGACGGTATGTGGAAATGGGACGACGTCGATTTCTAGCGTCAGGAGTGAGTTTTAGACCTCGGGCCTTTGGAGGCAAGTAGTTATGGGTGGTAGGTATGTTGTAGAATATTTGTAGGCCCAAACTACCTTGCGATCCTACAGCACACGCAAATCATTCTTCAAACCGGCAACTTTTGAAATGAAATCAGTGATCTTTTCTCAAATGGCTTCATGTAGACATAGTCGCTGACCCCGAGCTCCGGATGGGACATAAATGTATCTACCATAAACATATGTGCACTACTCCCAAGCTTCCCCGGAGTGAATAGAGGCTCTGGAATCGATTTTAGTCTTTGAGTCCAAAAACAGCCAAGTTTCGATGGTCACACCTTCCCCATTCAGTCAGAATCCGACTCGGCTGAATTCCTTCGACGAAATGCCTCAATCGTCTCGCGAATACCATCCTGGAGCTCCCTGCTGACTGTGCCAATGAAGCCCAGCGCATCAATTAGTTGCTCCTGCAGGCTGCCTTCCCCGATGTGTGTTTCCCGGGACTCCAACCGCTCTTGAATATTCGCGATCATGCGGCGTATGTCGGCGAGCTGCAACCTGAGCTCGGTGACCTTGCGGGTCTCGTCAGTGAGGTTGCTGCGCGTTCTCGAGACCCAGTATCGCAAATCTTCGGCCTCGTCGACGAGTTCTGTAATTTCCTTTTCGTGATTTTGTTCCGCTTCGGCAAGCTGCTTTTGCAGTGAATCAACCCGTTCGGTGAGGGTGCGCTCATCTAAAGTAGGTGAGTGGCATGTAGAAGCAGCATTCAGAGAAAATTTCAGTACCTTCACTGTCCATTTGCGTGGTGGAGGTAACTGCGAAGGAATGGGGCTGCCAGTAAACAGATCACAACAGGCTTCTTCCACCGTCTCACCTCCTACCCGGCCGGAAAATGGTTGGTGTCGCGAAATCTGTACGCAAAAAGGAACGCGCCGACACTGCCCTGAAGGAGAAATGGATGCAGCGGGCAATCAAAATCATGCAGGAAGAGGAAGGATCATCCTCAAGCGCACCACCCAGTCTCAAAACGGCGACCCAGCAGGCGCAGCGGGAGTGTCTGCAGCAGGACAAGAAGCACATCTCACTCTCCAAGTCGACGCTCTCGCGCCGCCTGAACGGCGGAGTCAGTAAAGCAGAGGCGCACCAGCACGAAAGCTGGCTTACCCCGGCCGAAGCCGACATCGTTATTTCGTTCACCATTGCCTGTGCGGACCGGGGGTTCCCCTTGAGCCATCGTAGACTCAAGGAGCACGTCGACGCGATCGCGCGAGCACGATGGGGCAGCCGTTTCCCGGACACTGGTGTCGGGAGGCAGTGGACAAAAACCTTTGTGTCCGACCACTCTGACCGCCTTGGAATGTACTGGTCGCGGGCTCTCGACAAATCTCGCGCACGGGCAGTCAATCCCATCACCAAGAAGGAGTACTTCGACCTCCTGGAGACAATTATCGAGGGCGAAGGCGGCGACGATGTCATTCCGGCCGAATTAATCTATGGGGCGGATGAGTCAGGCTTCCAGCAGGGTATCGGACAGCGGGAGCGGGTGATTGGGGCTGCTGGAAAGAAAACACAGCACCAGCAGCGGAGCGGAAACCAGGAGAATATTACCGCACTTGTCACCATCTGCGGAGACGGCACCGCGATTCCGCCAGCAATTATCTTCAAGGGCGATGGATTCCAGGTTAATTGGGCACAGAACAATCCTATCAACGCCTCGTAAGTCATTTAGGCATGTTAAAAGACGGCCCTAACCTTCGTCAGACTTGGCTATTCGAAGAAGGGCTACACAGACGGTGAAATCAGTGTCGCGTGGATCGAAGACTTCGACAAACGCACGCGCGCGAAGGCCGCCGGCCGCCGTCGACTGCTATTGGTCGATGGGCATTCCTCCCACTACACCTTTGCCTTCCTGGAGTACGCACGCGCCCACAAGATCGAGGTCCTGGGATACCCTTCGCACAGCACACATGTGTACCAAGGGCTCGATGTTGTCATCTTCGCGGCATTCAAGCGCAACTGGAGCGACGTACGCGACCGGTTTGAGGCCGCCGGCAACGTCGTCGACAAGTCCAACTTCCTCACCGTGTACGCCGAGGCCCATCTCGCCACCCTCACCCCCGAGAACATTCGCATGGCATTCAAAAAGACGGGGGTCATACCTCTGAATCGCGACGTCGTCACGGAGCAGATGATGGCTCCGAGCCTCGAGTCGTCATCCCGCGCGACTCTTCCCGTTCCCCAATCGAGTCCCATCAAGGCAATGTCGACAATCCTCGCTGTAGTAATGAGCCTATTGACATTGACACAGCCAGGAGCTCCGTTGCCTATAGCATTGGACCTAGCCAGCGCCACGCTAGCCATCCTCACCCTGCCCAATTCCACCTATTTGACTCCCCTTAGCGGCCTGATCGTCCTGAATTCTCCTAGCATTAGTTCTAAATCACGGGCAGCCTCCCTCCTCGTTCCCAATCGGGCTAAAGACCTCAATTATGCCCAAAATTCCTGTTATCACCCAAAACAAGTCTTGTGTCCTGATCCGCTGGAAATTCAATCATTTAATCCAATATCTTCTCAATCGACGCCCCGCCTTCATCCTCTGCAGATCACATTCCACTGAACTTCCTGCTCGCTGGGCTGTCCTGCCTCTCCACCGCTCCCGCCACAAACCTGTCCAACAGAACACCTCGACGCACTTCATCTTCGTTCCCCCGCCAATCGAATCAGCGCAACGCATACTCGACAGTAGTCGAGCCTCAAATCACGTCTTCAGAACAAAATAACAATTCATCATATTCAAAGTGACCGCCAGCACAACCTCTACATATCTACATATCCCCTCGCTCTAGCCTGTAACAAAAGGATATCAACGAGCAATACCACAAATAAGAGACGTTACACACACACCTTCTGTAAACAGCGACGGCAAGTCTTCGTCATCCAACTGTAACGCCGCCGCTGCCTTGCCAAGCGGCGCGTTGAGCTGGGCGAAGTAAAATGCGCTCAGGTCCCGGTACATAGACCCCTGCCTCAAGGCGTAAGCACGCAACCCCGCTTCAATTGTGCCCGTCACATCCGGTCGCGCCATCGCTGCCCGTGCGTCCCATTCGCCCTGCTCCCACTTCAAATAGCGCAAGAGTCGGCGCATCTCCTCATGCAACAAGTTAACCTCCTCATCCCACCGGTTCTTGCGCGCCTTGGCCTTCGCCCATTCCACTTGCAGTGCTGTAATGTATTAGGACAAGGCGGGCGCAATATAACCGCGGTTTGCTTACATTCGTGCAGATTCTTCTCCCCCGGGTCGAGCGCGCCCCGAGCAGCCCATATCCACGACATAACCTTCTTCGACGTCCCCGCAACATGACGAGGCACCCGCCCGCCCTTGCCCGCGGAGATCATGGCCATCTTCTTCTTCGCAGCGGACTCGTCGTCCTGGACATCGCCGTCCAAAGTTAAGTCGGCCTCCTTGAGTGGTTTGAGGTCGGGCCTGTACTCCTCCCCCTTCAGTGCCCTCAACGCTCGCCGCGCCTGCCGATACTTCTCCGCTTTGGCGTTGATGCGGGCGGTTATCTGCTTCGTGAGCGTCTGGGACCGTGTCGCATCGTACTGCCCGCCGATGTTCCCGCCCCTCCAATACACCACATGGCGCTTGGCGTGCAGGCTACCGCGAATCTTCGTGAGCGCCTCCGTGCACTGCGCCTCACGAAGCTTTGCCTCCATCTCCGCAATACCCTCCTGGCATCCCCCCGCCCCTCGCTCCACCTCACTCAGCGCCGAAGGCAAGAACAGCGCTATGTTCTCCGCCTTCACTGTGGGTCCGTCAGGCACGCGCCGCGCCTCCGCCCGCTCCAACCCCCGGATAGCGGCTGGCGTGTATATCTGCTGCAGGGCGCGGAAGGGCCGCAACTTCGCGTGTAGCGCGTATCGCTGCTCTTCGATTTTGCTCTCGCGATCGGCAGTCCGGACGCCCCCCAGTAGCTGCGCCTTGATTCGACGTCTGGCACGCGTCGTCAGTAAAGTAGTTTTGGAAGCAGCAGAGGCGACATACTGCGTATCCTCGAGCTGCATTCCTGCTGTCAGGAACGCTGTCGCGCTGGTCCCATGCAACGGCGCATTACCCCGGGCAGCCCCCTCTTCCTCGTCCTTCTTCAGCATGAGCTTGATCTCCGCCTCGCTCGGGCCATCTAAGTCCTCGTCAGTATCAGTTCATGGGCACCACATACGCCTCACGCACCCTTTTCCGTCAACAGGTAAGGATTAGTGTTGTTACCATCCGCGTGGAACGCATCCACCTTCGCCTGCCACACCGCCCGTGTCTCGCTCGGGATGCTTTTGTTAACTTCCTTGAACGCGTCGACCTGCCGA